GGGGGTTTGTTTGGGGGGAAGGTTGGGGGATGGGGGATGGGGGATGGTGGATGGGAGGAGGGAAGAGAGATGGGGAGGAGGGAGAGCTTTATAGGCTGGTTATAGATTGAGATAGACAACAAACATACGGAGTATTGATATCTTACACGCATACCCAATCCACATCAATCCAATCCACATCAATCCAACCAACATCAACACAACCAACCAACCAACCAACCAACCAACCAACAAATAGACCCAAAACCCAACCCAACCAACCGCAGGCAAGTCCCCAAGTCCGCGTCTTTACTCTATACTACCATACTCCGACGGCACAGTACTTAAGTTAGTACTACATGTACTCTTAGACTTATCTCATGGGGAAAGTTCACCTATGAGAGTTCATCTATGAAAGTTCATCTATGAAAGTTCACCTATGAAAGTTCACCTATGAAAGTAACCACTTGGAATTTGGAGCTTGGAATTTGGAGCTTGGAATTTGGAGCTTGGAATTTATGTATACGGAAGTGATATCGTGATATAGTGATATCTCCACTAAGATGCATTTGCTTAACTTACTTAACTTACTTACTTTACTTTGCTTTTGTTGGTGATGATGTATTGGAGCGGCGTAGTATGTAATATGTAGTATGTAGTAGATGTTATGTTATATTGTGTTGTATTGTGTTGTTTATCGGTAGGTAGGTAGGTAGGTAGGTAAGATAAATTCATCTAAAAGGGAAAAGTGAACAGTTTTCGTACCTAAGATCGCTACCATAGGTATGTATTTTACAAAATATCATCATCGATATAATAGTATCTCATTACAAATTTACAATAAATATAGAATATTTATATGTGGTTCTTTTAATAACTTTTGTTTGTTTGATTTTATTTTATTTTTCTATTATAATTACTCCGCACTGTACTGTACATACCTAGGTATATATGGTAAAAAAATTCGCTTATATATTTAGTATGTGTGTGAATACCTACGTATTGAATGAATGGTATTCCTTGCCCCTGAATTTAAGTTGGTGAGGGATCGGTATATGGATAGGTGGGTAGGTAGGTAGATAGATAGGTATCATTGTGATGTATTATATTATTTTCTAATCGATAACTTTATACGACAATATATATATTTGTAGATGTATATTGTAGATAAATAGGCAGGCAGGCAGGTAGGTAGATGCCAAGAATCTATTAAATCTATTTAGAATGAAAATAGCTTTAAATTCGCTTCGAAGAAAGATCAGCTATATGATTAGATAGTTTGCAAGTTACAACTAACAAATTACTTCCCTTTCAATTTACTATACATATATCTATCTATTTATTCTTTACAATATATGGAGTACTACTGAGTACATCTTAATACCGTACTTTATACTAGGTATGTATTTTGATCTCCCTCCAAGTCCGGGTCCGAGTTCGAGTCCCCTACTTCCGCTTCCAAAGCTCGAGTCCAGCCTCCCGGGCCTTCATTTCTAATCCCAAGTTCCCAATAAAGATCTTTAACAAAATTTCTTAAGTTTCTTAAATTACTAATTATACCTAAAATAAATTTTAATAAATCAAACTAACCATTCAAAGCTTTTGAAATCGATTAATAATTAAAATTCAATTAAATTTTATTTAGCTTTCATTTAATTTTAGTATTACGCATTGTTATTGGGGAATCAGGTCACATGGTTTCCGGTCACATGATCAGGGATCACGTGGTAAGCTATACCGCATAGGGTATGGGGGAGTAGTATATAAGGGCAGCTGGGCTGCCACCAAATATATACTCTTTAGTCAAATCAATCTACTATAATTCTACCCTAGTACTTCCTTCCTACCGTATTACTGGTCATCCCAGGATATACGATTAATAATTGTTGTTTTTTTTATAATTTTTATAAAAATTGTAAAGATTAATTGGATCTACAAAAAGATACTAGTAATATAAAAAACGATCTTAATAATTAATTAAGATTGTTTCTTAAGTTTCTTATATTATTATCTCTTAAATAAATAAGTTAATTTCAAAGATCTATACCTATTTAGGGCCACTAAAGTTGGTTAGCTTAGAAAACCTAAGAAATTTTGCTAAAGACCTCTAATGCCCAGAAAATATGTAAATGGAGAGAATCAGAGATACGTTGACAGTAACCGCTGGAGCCAAGCACAACATACCATCTCAGCAAAACAATAATGGATCCATGACTTTCGCTCTCGACTTTCAAATTTATACACTAATTACTCCGTATATAGAGCTAATGAGGACTTGGATTCCCAATCCATCTCATCTGGTCCTCTTCCCATCCACCATCCATCCAATCTCCTCTCGTGATCCTACCCACCCAAATGATATAAATCCACCCCACCCCACTTTGCGCTCGCACTGGCAAGCTCCCCCCTCCAAATCCCATGGAAATAAATACTCCACTTTCCGCCCTACTGCTCCCTTTAGGCTTCTGAGTTCTCATAATAATGCGGAGTTTGCCCGAGCCAGCTCTCTCCCCGTCTCTCTCCCGCAAAAAAAACAAAAAAAAATCTTCCACCAAAAAATAAAAAATAAAATGAAATGAACAAAAAGATAATTCCGAATCCGGGAATCGAACCCGGGGCTACTCGGATCAATGATCATACAGCTGAATGAACAGATGAATGGATCGATGAAAGCGAGTTATGTTAACCCCTACACTAATTCGGATGTTATGATGTATGTTGTTTGATGGAGGAAGAGGGGTTGCTTGGGTATTTATTTGTGGGTGGTGGATAGGTGGATAAGTGGGGGGGGGAGGGGTTTAAGGAGAGTGGAGAGTGGAGAGTGGGAGGGAGGTAGAGGAGGTAGAAGAGGTATGATGTCGAATACCTATCTAGGTGATTTCCTTATGAGTTATTATGGAAGTAAGTGATTATGTATAATGATTATATGATCTGATTGGATCTTCTCTTCAAGTTGTAGTACGGGATAAGTAAGATATACTCCGGAGAGCGTTGGAATTTTTGAGTTCTTTTTGAATTGGATGGAAGATGTGTGGAATCTCGAATCTCGAATCTCGAATCGTTATTTGAATAGTTACTATACATTTTAAATATATACCGATATATATCTCACACACAACATTCTAGTATTCTAGTATTCTAACTTGGGGCGAAAGGGGGGGAGGGGGTGCTTCTAGTTATATTTTTTTCAATATGCAGAGAGTAAGTAGTAAGTACAGTGTACTCCGTAGCTTATGAAATTACAAATCACAAAATCATTGCCCGTGGAATCGGCTATTAATAGGTGTACTGATTCATGACTCTATCTATGAATTTCCCTCATCTACTATCTCGAATTTACTATTTATTGATTTTGCAAAATTTATAGTTGGAAGTTATTAGACGGTAAATAGGTAGTAGGTATGAATACCTACCTAGGTACCTAGGTATACGGGTTAAAGTCAGAAAGCTATACGTCGGCTCTTCTACCACTTAGATCCATCCATTCCCTTCCAAGGTTTTTTTTGTAGTACCTCCTTATAAGATGAGGGTGAATTATTGATGCTATAAAAACGAATAGAATAATCAATTAAAGCTAGGTAGGTATACATATATTCGCGAAATCGCGAAATCGAGATCAATATTTTGGTATATTGATAAATGCAATACAATACTTTCTATCTACTAACTCTTCTTTACTCAAAGACTAGAATCTAGGTATAGATAGGTACCTACCTATATAAACGATATAAACCCAGTACCCTCGATATTTACATCAAAGTCTACCTACCTAACTATACCTACCTACAATTAGATACCCAAGTACCAGTACCAATAACTTATATCTTAGATATATTCTATATCCACGACAAAAATCGCATCAAAACTTCAAATACCATCATCAAAAGCTCCATCCCCATCCCCATCCCCATCCCCATCATCTCATAACAAGAGGACTGCGATTCACGATAGGCTACCTACCTACCTATCAATCTATCAATCAATCAAATCCGGGTGATGATTTCTTGATATTCCTGCGCATTCGGTACGTTGTACGTTGTACGTTGTACGGTTTTCGGAAATCCATCCATCCGTTGAGGAAGGATTATCGATTTCGAATTATCGATTTCGTCTTGAGCTCCATACATACTATCATAGCATGACGTACCCGAACTTCCATCACCAGAACGTCTATTGCCTTATGATCCACGATCCACAAACACGCCCACAGCACTTCTCCACCGAACCCTCCCCCCCCCCCCCCCCCCCCCGAGAAAAAGTCGGAGTAGAATCTTGACAGCAATACATTTCCTAGCTTTTCAACCCCGAAAAATGCACACGGAACTTTCGATCCGTGTTTCCTACTCCCCTCTGAATGACGCAAACTAACTTAATATGGTACGTACCTACTTATTACTCTGCTATTTGCAAGCCGCGGCTTGTAGAATGAATGAATGAATGGACTTGTGAAGAAAAGAAGAGTGGGTAATCGCCGATGATTTATTTCTTTGGTTCTTTTTTGAGGGGTTTGCATTTGGAATGGAAATTGGATCTGAGCATACATACTATGTTTATTTTCTACTGCCGGAATGAATGAATCTGTTACAGATTCCCGTCATTGAATTCCAAGGTTGTATTGCATTGAAATGAACCGAAATTTGCAAATTTCTTCCCACCCCTCATCTGCGAACTAATCTGCTTTCTTAAACCTCCTCACCAGTATCCATTCCCTTAAACTTCTTCAACCCTCCTCCATGAAACTCGCATCCCAATCTCCTCTCCATTCCTCCTCGCCACTTTCCCCACTTCACCCCTTAATCCATAATAACTAGCAAATAAGCACCTGATATGGAAATTTTCGAATATCAAGATATAAGCTTCCGTATCGTGCTCATATCCAGATATCGAACCCGGTGACTTCAGTTGCACTTTCGTAATATGATTCTGATATTGAAATTTGTATGCATGTATATCCGAATTGATGCTCGACTGAAGTGTAACATGTATTCTCGCGCGCTATCCAATTATCTCGCCGTTCGTTCTTGAGGAATAGCTTGGGCTTATAGTTTTGATGGATAATGGGAATGATATATTGTGTTTGCTTGGTGTTGTGGTGAGGGTCGTATGTCCATGTTGAGAATGTTTGTGCGAGGATGCCTGATGTCATTGCTGTTTGCTGAAGGGATTTGTGACTTGGTGGATGAAGAAAGAAAGTCCAAGTCGTACTCCTGAAATCAGAAACGTTGATTGTTGAATGTTGAGTAGATCTTGATGATGATGGATGACTCACAGTGGCATACAGCCCCTGGGTCAATGTTCTACTTTCGAAAACGGAGAGGAACTCATCTACCAGTTGATTTTGGAGAATTGATTGATGAAGTACCATTGAAAGTAGATGTTATGGAATCACAAGTAGAGTAGAATCTGATCAACAACCAGCTTCTCACTTGGTTCTTTAGACTTGAGGTGTGTATGCTGTAATCACAGATCAGTTTGAATTCTTCATTGTGTCGACCATAAGATGTGGGACTTCAACTTACTTTTCATTCTTCTCTCTCTTCTCGTTGAAGGGAAAGTATATCGGACCCAAACTGAAGCAGCGAAAATGATTGCTAGAAGACTTGCCGGTGAATAGTAGCCTGTGGGAAAGGTCTACTAAAAGTTATTGTGCAGCATGATTTCTAACTTGTTGGGTGTATCGAGTTCAAGCTCCAAAATGGGTAACTGTGAAGACATGTCAGCTAGTATAGAGTGATCACTCTTTAGCAACATACATCTGAATGGGCTCACTCTAACGAGGACCCCTAAAAGCTGGAATTGATATACTTCCATTGGTGGTATATCGTAATTTGCTCTTGTTGAAGTCGGAAGCTACCTATACAGGTAGTGATTTGGATCAACATAGAAATATTAATCTAAATCAATTCATCCCGCTACTAAAAGCATGCGGGGACAAACCTTTTAACGTCTTGCTCAGGACGCGGTTTGTCAGAAATTTCCCAACTAAATAAATAGTTGAATTCGTCCCGCCTCTGTGAGCATGCGGGGATAAACCTATGCCCGTGTTTTTCCGAAAAGGAGGAGGGATCTTTGAGGAAATCTAGGTCCGCCGGTGCTAATGATTTGGTCGGATAGCGAGGTTGGGACAAGAGATTTTTCTCGAAAGGTGAAGTAACTCATAAAATTCTCTGCTGTCAATACCAAGCTCTGAGGTCGAATGGTGTTGCAGTTAGGATAAGAACTTTGAAGTCAAAGTAAATTAATGTCCGGCTTATCAGGCGACGGAATTAAAGTCTCGGAAGTAAGAGGGGAGCTTTTGTAGAAATGCCCATCTGACAATATCAGTGACTTTCGAAACTGGTCCTGGTTTGATTGGATGTTTTCTTCAAAGTGGGAAGGGAAACGAAGCTGAGGTCGATAACTCTCCGAAAAATCCTATCCACACAGTCTACCAAACTCTGGAATGTTGTGCATTTTTTGATGGTGCTTTTCGCTTTTTGGCTTACTGGGAGATTTTCTTCAAAAAGTTGAAAGGAATCGCCGAGCTGAGCTGGTTTGTAAATAAATGATCCCGTCACGGGAATCGGCCAACTAAATGAATAGTTGTTAAAAGGAAGCAGAATAGGTCATTTCGAAAATAAATTTCATCCGCCCACATGAGATGAACAAGTCATCAGCAGGTTAAGACAAGAAGTCTTCGAAAGGGGAAACTTTCCCACAGACGAGGTGGATAGCTCTCCGAAAAATACTACCCACACGGTCTACCAAGCTGCAATATTATGTATGTTTTTATGGTGCTTTTTGCTTTTTGGTTTGCTGGGCTCGAGATATCTTTTGGGGATTCGAGGTATCCTTTGACAATATCGAAGGCGTTAGAGTATCGGTTTACTTTTGCCTCTTCGAAAGCTCAAGTCATTCGAGTTATCTGTTGACGTTATCGGAGAGATTTTCTCAAAAATTTGAAAGGAATCACCGAGCTAAGCTGGTTTGTAGATTAAAGATGTTCCTTTTACAGGAACGGACCAACTAAATGAATAGTTGATTGTGTAGGAGTGGAGTGAGAAAATTTCGAAAATTATTCTGATCGCCCGATGCCAGATGAACCAGTCAACAGCAGGGTTAGGCCAAGAAGTTTTCTTCGAAAGGGGAGACTTTTCCCACAGGCGAGGTAGCTCTCCGAAAATACTACACGAATTTCATTAACCAGCGCAGTCGAATGAGGCAGTCGAATTGTATATCTGTGTCTGAATGGTCGGAGAGATCTACTGAGTTGCAGTATTATGTATTTTTCGATGGTGCTTAACGCTTTTTCGATGGATATCTTGAAATTTTGATGGATGATTTTCGCTTCTTGGTTGATCGTTGGCTCTGTCAAAATTTGAACTTGTCGATTACCCGCCGTCCATTTCTAACTCTTCAGTGCGTAGTGGCTTCGTACGCTATCGTATTGCGAGAGTCAGAAGAGTGAAGTGAAGAACATGAATGATGGGGTCAAATGATACTTGGGTAAACCCTTAGGTAAACCCGTGTACCACCGACCCCGGCGAGATATGTAATGTTGTCTGCAGTTATCGAAAGGGTTTGTCGCGGTTCTATAGAACGTTAGTAATGATTCTCAAAATTGATAGATGACTCGAGGACTTGAAAAAAGAAACTTGAACAAGAAGAAGAAGAAAGACCGTGATTTGAAGTAAATGGAAACGCAAATAGTCATCGCAGATGCCG